TTTTTATATGTTTTCATGAATTAATTATTTTTTGATTTTTTTTTCATATAGCCACATAAAAATTATGAAAGTGGTTTTTTTTGTTTGAAATTTTCCTTTTACAATATGGCAAGTCTTTGCTCAAAAAACATATGCCAGCAATAAAAAATAATTTTTATTAAAAAACAAGTTAATAAGGAAATGAGAGTTTTGCAGAAATAAAAATTTTCACTCCTTAACTTAAATTATTGAGAATTTATATTTAAATTATCTTATAGTTTTATTTAAAAAATGTTTTTTAGTAAAAAGGTTTTTATTTAAAGTATTTACCGTATATCTTTATTTAGATTTTAAATTATTTTATGGTTAGATATTTTTCTTTGTTATTTTTTTGTAATTGACTTCCAACAAGACATTTTTTTATTATTTTTTTTCAAATTTATTATTTGATATTTGGTTATGAATCCTTTTAGCTTCATTGTTTTTTACACTTGTTTTTGTTAATTTATCCCGGTCTTATATCGCGAGTTAATAGGTTAGTTAAGCTAATCATGATTGTCTCAGTTTTGTTTTTCTTAGTTTTTTTAATGAAATTTATTGTTTTTACAATTTCATACTTTGACGTTATATTATTGGTCTTTAAGCGATGCAAATTTTTCACATTTTTTTTTTTAATATTGGGTTATCTTGAGTGCGTGTTAGTTAAGTTAACTCAAGTTAGCTTATATTTTCTAACTTAATATTTTTCTTATTTAACTTCAGGTTTTTTTTAGGTTTTTTTTTTGAAAATCTAGTTTTTTTTATTTCGATCTCATATCGTGAGTGGCGGGTTAGTCAAATTAATCCGGGTTGACTCGGTTTTTTAATTTTTTTATGATTTTATTTTTTTCAATTTCATCATTTTTTATTAAAAATTATTTGCCCTTGAACTTTGTTATTTTTTCACTTCTCTTTCTAATTTGTTTTTTCAAGAACGGGTTAATCAAGCTAATGTGGGTCAACTTACATTTTCTTTCGCATTGTTTTTTATTTAACTCGGGTGTTTTTTGTTAGGTTTTTCTTTTAGAAGTATATTTTTTTATCCCAATCTCATGTCGTAGGTGGTGGGTTAGTTGAGCTAACCTGAGTTGACTTAGATTTATTTTTCTCGATTTTATGACCTTTTTGTTTCAACTTCATTATTTTGTATTAAACTATTTTTTCTTTAGTTTTGTTATTTTTTCACTGTTCTTTCTATTTAGTTAGGCCAAGAGCGGGTTTTGAGTTCGTCAAGTTATTCTGAATTAACTCAAGTTTTTTTCTTCAGCATTATATATATATATATTTGCTTTCGTTTTTGATATTAGATTGTTAAGCCTTAAATTTTATAATATGTTTTAGCTTTCTTTTTATACAAGTTCTTAGTTTGATATCCTAGATTGTATTTTAGTTAATTTAACCTAAGTTATCTAAAATTAGAATATATTTTTTTACATTGAAACAAAGCTTAGCCGGACCAGTGATGAATCGCTTGCCCACTATCTAGTTTTATAACAATTAAGGAAAGGATCTCTCAGCACATTTGTGACCAAACTGCAAGACACACAGCTTAATATTTAAAAGAGGTATTTTTCCAAAGTCAAAGACCAATCAACCCCTTTATATTATTATTATTTCTAGCCTCCATATGATAAATTTTAATAAAATACCAACAACCCCTTGTATTTTCCCAAGAAGAAAGAGTGACAAAAGACCCTTTCTTGTTTTTATACTGATACCAAACGCCTACTTATTTGTTGTATTAGCAACTGCTACGCAAAACTACAATTTTAATCAGATCTAAGATTAGTCCCTTCTGGTCTAATTAAAGATTAGTAAATCATAATAAAAAAAGAAAAAAGTCTGTCTCCAAAGGGCATGTTTCTCCGCTATGATTGTCAAATTATCATTAAAGTTAAATAGTGTTTTCACGTAGTTTTAGATCATGAATTATTATAATAATTTTTTTTTATTATAATTTACAATAATTTTTTCAGGCATATCATCTTTTATAAGGTGTGGTGCATATATATATATATATGTTTTTTTTACAATTAAAATGAATAATTATTATTTATTTATTTATTTGTTTAGATTTAACAAAAATTATCAGATTCAAATATCTTTCATATAACAAATATTAGACTCAACCTATTTAAATTTGAGTATCATACAAGAACTAAAATCCTTGAATTTAATAATCATATTTGTTATGAGGTTTGGGTATGGACTGAGAACCATATTTGATGATATACCAAAACACATGGGTTTGATAATAAAAAAAGGAGTGAGTTTGCATATTCTGATATGGGTCTCTCAAAATTATTAAATGTAAGTTTATTAGATTTGATATAGCTGCCAAACATAAGTGGTTTACCAGACTCAAGTGGTTTAAATATGATATGAACACCTACTCAAGAAATTAAAATATTTTTTTTATATTTATAAAAAAATAATATTGACCCAGCAATATAATAATTTGATCCTTTACAGGATGGCCCATTTGGTTGGTTCTACAAATGATTGGTCCTACACAGGACAGTCACCTAAATTATTATTTTTCAACAGAAAGTCAGCCAG